GTGCTGACTGTGGGAAAAGCTTCAGTCGGAGTGCACGCCTCATTAGACACCGGAGAATCCACACTGGAGAGAAACCTTATAAGTGTCTTGACTGTGGAAAAAGTTTCCGTGACAGTTCAAATTTCATCACCCACAGGAGAATCCACACAGGAGAGAAACCATATCAGTGTGGTGAGTGTGGAAAACGCTTCAATCAGAGCTCAAGCCTTATAATTCACCAGAGAACCCACACAGGAGAAAAGCCCTATCAATGTGAAGAGTGTGGAAAAAGCTTCAACAACAGTTCTCATTTCAGTGCACATCGGAGGATACACACAGGAGAGAGACCCCATGTGTGTCCTGACTGTGGAAAGAGCTTCAGTAAAAGTTCTGACCTACGTGCACATCATAGAACCCACACAGGAGAGAAACCCTATGGGTGTCATGACTGTGGCAAGTGCTTTAGTAAAAGTTCTGCTCTAAATAAGCACCGAGAGATCCATACACGAGAGAAACTTCTGTCACAGTCAACACCTAAGTAATAAGCCCCTGAGAATTTAAAGAAAAGATAAATGCAGTGAAATTGTTTGAAAAAGTCTTCCAATAGTGAGATCCATCTCCTCTGCCCAACTAGCTTAGGAAACACTCTTAAGATTTACCCCACTCTGTTCCCAAGTTTTTCCTAGATCTACGAATTCCTAAGGTAGTCATCTTAAGAATGAAAAGAAGATTTCAGTCCCTCTCCTTGCCTACATTGGAAATGACAGATAACACCTTTACCTCTCAGTGTCTATATTGTTCCTGTAATAGAGAGGACATAGTAGTAGATGCCATGTATTTATTTATCCTGTTATTCAGCTGCATTTCAACTGGAAAAACCTATCACAGCATTTCAGGGAGAAGCTGTGAGACTTTCCTAATTGAGTGGGTCTTTTTATACAATTATGGAAATGCAAAACTGTGGCTCTTCCTGTTTGTATAAACCTGTGCTTAGAATGATATTTGTCAGGCACACTCTTCATTTACCTTAAAGGAGAGTTTAATATCCATCCTGGTTCTGACCTACAAATCCTCTTGTCAAAAGCCTAGGTGTTCTAGATGGGGAAATAGTGTAAACTTTATATATTGAAGTGGGAACCCTAGATTTCTTAATTTCTTCTAAGCCCTAGAAGATCTGGAATAGAATAGTACATTTAGAGCATCTAGTTTGATTTTTTTTCTTCTGTTCCATCTTATCTGAGTTTCATCTGTCCCTTCTGGTCCAGAAGTGCAAAGAGCAAGTAAGCTGGATGTGCTGATATGAAAGAAAGCAGTTAAGGCTGCCAATAGGGGATTGTGCATTCCACACACACAAACACCTAGTTTAGTATTATACAGCACTCCATTGGTGCTCAATATTATCCTTCATTGAGCAGATGCCACTACCATGTACCCATGGATTATGAAACAAATGGCTCTGTGCCAACAACTCTTTACCCTAATGGCAAGGAGGACAGATTATCTTTGGTCAGTGGAGTTGCCGATACTCACACACATGCACATGCAAATATTCACCTGTATAGATGTTTTTAAAAGCTCTTCAAACACGAGTGTGATTCTGTATAATCAAATAGTATTGAATTAATTGCTCATATTCCTAGTAGTATGATGAGCCCTGTACAGCACAAGGTAAACAGACCCTGTCCTTGTTCTTACAATCTAGAACAGATGACTGACATGGACAAATAATAAGTGCACATGTAGAGCTGCAACAGTTTTAGAGAACTCTAGAAATCTAGTAACATTTTGCATAAATGTTAAGGTCTAATACATTATAGTTTTTTATAAGAAAAATCTGGGAGGTATTTTCTTCTCTTTATTCAGGAAGGCTTCATGAAACAGCAAGTGTTCCAAGAAAGGAAGGTTATTGGGTAAATCAGGATGGGATGAACTTTACAAAACTAATCACAAAACTGAGTACTGAGTGGGTGAGAAATGGGGAAAGTGGAGAGCAAGGTGTTTTATGCAGATGGAGCCGAGGGCAAAGGACAGACTCTAAGGAAAGTTAGACAAAGCTTGAAGGAGCACAAAATTGAGGAAGAATATGATCTAGGCTATGCATAAGGTAGAGAACTGCCTTAACTGGAACATGGAGTGCCAAGAGGCAGATCTGGAGGTGGTGATCTCATACACCTATAATAAATCAGGTACTGTGCTATACTTATTGATGAAACAGCCAGCTCACACTGGGGAAGAATGAGCAGTCTGAGGGGACTAGCTCCTATAAGAAACAAAGGTCAGAAACTAGTATCTTGAGAAAATACTTTAATGGGCAGGTCTGAGGAAAAAGGAATGTGAACACATGGCTAAGGCCTGGGATAAGTAGCTGTTTCATATTCACATTTATCAGAGTCCTGTGGCCAGAATGAGATATGGAAGATGAGTAGGGAGATAGAATATTCTGTAATTCATAGCTTGCTGTGTTAGATGAGAGGTTGATTAGGGTTCTGGTATTGAGGGATCCTACTACAAAAAATGTAACATTTATTAGGAGGAGATGGTATCTCAATTATGTGGCCTAAGCAGACATGAAGATAGAAGAAACACCAATCTAAAGCAGTGCCTCAGGATTTGAGATGGTTGTGTTTTTTAAATGTGTTTTTTAATATGAGCGATTACTGTCTTTAGTATATTTATGTATAGTTGTGTGTAAAAAGCACTGGTTGGGGTATCAGCAGATCTGAATTCTGGTTCCAGAGGTCTTGTGTTTCCATCTCCCTTTCTGTAAAGCAGAATAATGTTTACACCTTAATCTGCCTCTCAGGGATACCATGTTAATAAAAATTATGTCTATAAAGTACCCAGTGTTTCTTCATGTGGCTCCCCCCACCAAAAATACATCTGCAATTTTTTAAGTTGTTGCTGCTATGAAAGATAAATTTTTACCTGCTTTAAGCTCCCTGTGTGGGCTTACCAGAAGTATGCCTGTTTGAATCTTAATGTTCTAGACTGAGAAACAAATTAGGATGTGGTAAAAGAGAAATTAGAATGAAAATCCTTCTGTGGTATCTGTATCCATTAGTGCAGTGGGTTAAGACCTCTTATAACTGGGCATGGAGAATAAGTGTTATTTTAAAAGATCCAGGACCAATCCCCTACCAAACTCCAGATGAAGAGAATATACATAAGGAATAGGGCAAAGGCAAACTCTCTTACTGGGGAAAGCCATTTCATCTCAAAAGAGCTTACAAGCCATTTCCTACTACCCACTCTGCCATTCTTGAGGATGGAAGAAGCAAGAAATAAATAGTCTTCAAACATTCTAAGAAAGAGAAATCAAAGGATGCCACTCGGTGGTTGAGTGTCTCTGCCTTTGGCTCAGGTCGTGATCCTGCGGTCCTGGGAGCGAGTCCCACATCACCCTGTTTCTCCCTCTGCCAATGTCTCTGCCTCTTTGTATCTCTCATGAATAAATAAATAAAATCTTAAAAAAAAGAGAGAGAGAGAGAGAGAGAAATCAAGGGTACTATAGGTGGAGCAAGAGGGTCTGTGCTCCCTGCCCTTTTCATACTCATAAGACCTTTGTGGGGACAGAATGAATGGCATGTACAGCAAAGGAAGCAAGAATGTATTATTAGCAGAAGCTAGACAATCATACTCTCATCAGTTGTTTCCTAGTGCTGTTATTTCTTTATCTCCATTTTCTCCACTCTTTTTTTTTAGATTCATTTATTTATTTTAGAGAGATTTTATGTGCAAATGGGGAAGTAGGGCAGAGGAAGGAGAGAGTCTCAAGCAGACTCCCTGTTAAGTGCAGAGCCAGACACAGCCCTCCATGCTGGGCTCTATCTGAGGACCCTAAGCTCATGACCTGAGCCAAAACCAAGAGCCAGATGTTTAACCACCTGAGTCCCCCAGGCACCCCACCATTTTTTTAAAGTAAACTCTACCCCCAAACTGGGGCTCAAACTCATATTCCTGAGATCAAGAGTTGCATGTTCTACTGACTAAGCCCGCCAGGTGTCCCACGTTCTTCCTTTTATTGCTTGCTATGGTCATTGCTACAGAACTTAATAACATTTATATGTTTTCTCTATGTTGTTGCCATTTCTCTTTTACTATAATCAGAGTATGGAGGCTGAGTCTTATCAACTCTGTAGAGGGCTATTTTTATGGTGACCAGGTAGGGAAAGGGAAAGGGAAGCTGAGACAGGAGCCATCAATTCTTCACTTTTCAATTCAAAAATCTAAAATGAAAACTTTACTCCTATATACTCAACTATCCAGTAAGATGCATATCAAAGTTTTGACATTTAAAATGGTATATATTCTCTGATATCATGGTGCTTAAAGTGACATATTATATGGAGATATTTTAGTTAGGAGCTTAAATTACTCCTACATCCACCATGGCACTCTTTCAGATACAAACTTTGGAACAACTGGAAGATTAAAGGCAAGAAAGAGAAACCTAAAGTACCTTAGACCTCAAGAAGCATCTGGTTGGTTAGATCCGTTATGGTCAAAATAACAGAAGGGTAACATAGGAACATTTTTAAAAAACTACCACCTTGATTCCAGGGGGATTAATCATGAGAGGAGCAAAGCCAGATATTAGAAGCCAGCTCTATCTGTCACTAGGGTCATCCAAAGTAGATTAACCCTGACTACTGGGTATTCACAAAAATCCCTGGTATGCAGTATTGCCTGGAGTCAACAGTTTTGGGGAATACTGGAGTGAAGGGAGTTTGAGTAAACCAGGCAAAACAAAATACAGAACGCTGTTGTCACAAGCTACAAGGCTTAAAGGTTTTGGTGGCAATCTGTTTTCCTTTCTCCTCAACTTTAGACTAGTTACTCCAAAACTCTTCTTGATGAGAAACTCCTTTGATTTTCCTGAAGTTTTATGATTACTAATGTAAAGGGATTCGTTAAGTCAAATCTCAGGTGGAATGGGGAGTTCAGTTAGGAGCCAGCCCCTTCAACTCCCCTTTTAGGAAGCAGCATGGAAGTAAGCACTGTAAGACCTCGGAGCCTGCCAGTCAATTTAAAATATTTACTGGGCACCAGCCACGAGTAAAGTGCTGGTGAGGGTGCCCATGGTACCTGGCTGGTGTGCTTCAAAGGTAGAGAGTTAACTAAGTGAGATACAGTGGGAAGATCTTGGTTGCAACACATACTCAAAAGTAGTTCATGTCATTGCAGCTTAAAAATACAACACTCTGGGTTTTAGATGATTCCACTTCCTCCTCAGTTCAGACCTGGTGCTGTCAGAAGCAAAGATGTAGTTGATGGATTCATAAGACAGATCCCACACCTGAGTCTGGGTCAAGTTAAATGTTTCAGCTGCCAGTTGGTACTCTTGAGAAAGTTGTGTTGCAAAAACACCCTTATCATCAGTCTGCCAAAAAAAAATAATAATAATAAATTAATGAACAAGGAAACGACTTTTTAAAAAACAGTAACTTATGTTTAGAATCTATTTTCCTATTTACCATGCTTCTTTTAAGAGTCTAAACAGGCCTATAAATGCATCCATGCATATCTATAACTAAATAGGCCTCTTTATCCTTTTTAAAACAAAACCCAGAAAATCCAGAGCAGTGGCTTTCAGCCATGGCTGCCTATTAAAATCACTAGGAAGCTTTTAAAATGTATCTGTCTACAGGACTCACACCAGATCAAACAAAACAGGATCTTAAGGATGGGTACTGGGCTCAGTATTTTTTTATATTCCTCTGGGTACTGCCCAGGACCTTTATCCATATCGCCAAATCTGAGTCACTCTGGCCCTCTGAAGCCTCTCATGCCCTGATCCTCTCTCACTCCTCTACTTGGGCAGCACGCTGAGAAATGCAAGACAATTAGCTAGTAGTGAATGTCTGACTTTATGCAACAATGGACTGAAAAAGCAAAGTACTTCATATAAGTGATGTGTACACCTTACACAGATCACAGAAGGATGGGCAATGCTGTACCAGAATCCGAAATGATGCTGGTCATAAGATCGAACTGTCTGACTTTTGATGTTTGAGGTCAAACAGAGTTCTAGATGAAAGAAGGAAAAAATCTTTTATTAAAAGCAGATTAATAGACTCGTTCATCAGTGTTCACCAAGTAGATACATGAGAAATTTTTCCAAGGTTTGCTAATTTCACACACCTTATGTGTGAAAATTTGTAGTTCAATCTGTACAGGAAGTATGTGCTACGACTTTTGACAGCAACTACTTCCCCTTCCCACTATGTACTTTTCCCTTTCTTCCCTTTCTTTTACCAAAATGGAGAGGAAAGAGGAATGTTATAAGCCACTCACCATGGAGAAAGCAGGGAAGAATTATGAAGGAAGTTTTGAAGGATTGCTGCATTTTTTTTCTTTTTTTAATTTAAATTCAATTTGACAACATATAGTATAACATCCAGTGCTCATCCCATGAGGTGCCCTCCTTAATGCCTGTCACCCAGTGGATTACTGCACTTCTTCCTGGTCTTATAGTGGAGGCTAAAACAAAATGGTAGCACTGCTTGAGGGCTACAGTATTATAAAAAGCCAAGAGCAGAAATGGACTTAAAGAAAACCCTTAAAAACACCTTTACTCAGATAACCATCTATTTATGGTCTGCTCCAAGTAAGTTCATCTCAAGAATGACTTCTATTATTAACAAATTCCTGCCTTGACACATTATACTTGGCTCCCCAGCCAGAGCAGAAATAACTTCACTGACTTGATTGATGGCGTTTGCTCACTATGATAAGGCAGGCTCAACACAGGGTCACTCTGTCCAAGGGATGGCAGCCTGTCCCCTCACACTGCTGGGCACAGAGCTGGGCCACCACACTAAGATCACTATGCAAATGGCTTCCATTTTCTCAACTTCTGGGGGTGTTAAAAATGTCCTTAGTAAAAAGAAAAAAAATCTCATTATGAATTGCTGAAAACTCTGTAATTAAAAAAACACATACCCACACAAATTTTTTGAAAATTCATAAAACTAAACTCAGCAAATTGATCATTCAGTAAAATGGTTTTCAGTCAACTGCTTTTTTCCCTCCACGTAAGTATGGCCTTCCCTGACCATCCAACTGAAAGTGATTATCTCATCACTATTATATCAAACTGTTTAATTTTCTTTAAAGAGCTTAACACTGACATTTTCCTGTGTAACTGTTTATTGTCTCTCTTACCTAGCCAGAATATAAATTCCTTGAGAAAGAAACCTTGCCTGTTTTGTTTACTGCTCTATTCCCAGTAATTTGAACAGTGTGACTGGCATAGCTACTCCATAAATATGTGTTGTTAATTAAAAGCAGCTCCAGAGATTATCATGTAGACACATAAGTGGTAATAGTCAACATACATTTAAAAATGTCTTGGAATCTTCCATAATTCTTAATTTTTAAATAATTGTCACACATTTTTATAATACATACTAATTTGGTTAGTCATTTTAAAATACTAGATGACCCTTATTCCTTCAATATAATAATTATTGAGTTCTAAGAACTGGGGAATGTAGCAGTGAACAAGACAGACAAGGGCCCTGCTTTCATGGGTTTATATTCTAATGGAAGCTAAAACTTCCTGTTACTTAAATAAGTAAGGCTCAGGAAGCACATGTACCATGCCACTTTTAATTTCTACATGACATATATTTAGAACGGTACTTCTCTGCATACATGTTGCAACCAGGTGACTGGGGACCAATGTACAGAGTGTTATCAGGAGGACCTGAAGCCCTAAGCCTTACCCAGTGGTATCCGATGTTGCCTCACAAAGTCTACCAGCTCAAGGGATCCTTCCTCAGAGGAGCTGAGAAATGTCCCATGCCCAATTCTGTCAGGAAGCAGATCCAGAAGTACTTGTGTTTCTTTTTTTTGGTTTGGAATCTCAAAAAAAGGAGAGAGAGGGGATCAATAACCTCTTTTAGCAGTTCTTAAACGGTACTATTTTTCTGTAACTAGCTACTTTGTTCCTCACAAAGAAGATAATGCAGACATTCTGGAAAGCTGAACTACCTATACCTTCCCAGCTCTCTTCTTGGCCTTTATTTTCCCATTCATTTCCCAATATTCTTCTAGATTCATTTCAATGATAATAATTAGAGTTAACAATAATAATAATAATGATAAACACTTTTAGACCTGCTTTGTGCCTTTTAAGGAGGAGACATAAATTCTCCTTTAAACCTCACAAGAATCTTGTAAAGTACTAAGATGAAGAAATTAAAGTTCAGAAAAAGTAACAAGATCAACTCAGGAGCAGAAATGAAATGAGAAAGACCTTTCAGTTTTTATTTTTTTCCTCCTTCATTACACTTCTCTACACTTAGATTTTTTTCAAATATACCTAACTTTTGTAGTTAAAACAAAGTTTTTTGTTTTGTTTTGTTTTGTTTTTTTAAGTTGCCTAAGGTCATGGAGCTCTGACTCCAGGGCCCAGATTCTCTGTGTAGTATGCTCATGTTTTATTTTTTACTTATTTTTTTAAGGATTTTATTTATTTATATGACAGAGAACATGAGTACAAGTGTGAGTGGGGGTAGTGGAGCACAGGGGTAAGGAAAGAACTCAAGCAGGCTTGGAGCAGAACCCACATGGGGCTTGATCTCATGACCTTGCAATCACGACTTGAGTGGAAATCAAGTCAGACGCTTAACCAATTGAACCACCCAAGCACCCCACTGCTGTATATACTGATATACAACTACCATGAACAGGTCTAGCTGTACTCTTTATCTACTAGATAGCCTACAAGACAAATGACCATAACATGTTGAAATGAAATATTTTACATCCAATGGATCAAACAAGAAAAGCAACAGAATAAAGAAAATTTTAAAATTTTCTAAAGAAACAAATAGACACAGAAAAAAGAAAAAGAAAAGTGGGGATGCCTGGGTGGCTTAGTGGTTGAACGTCTGCCTTTGGCTCAGGGTGTGATCCTGGGGTCTGGGATCGAGTCCCTTGCAGGGAGCCTGCTTCTCCCTCTGCCTGTGTCTCTGCCTCTCTCTCTCTCTCTCTCTCTGTATCTCTCATGAATAAAGTCTTTAAAAAAAAAAAGAAGCAACAGAAAGTAAGGTAAAGAGAAGGTTATGATGCTGTGCACAAAAACTACAGATAACTGGTCACAGTAACACATGCTGGCTGTTTCATTTTATTGACCAACAGCTTCAATCAGACATCAGTTAGGTTAACTAGAGGATGTCCTGTAAGTGACAGATCTTTTTTATCAGAGTGTGGAAACACAGACTCTAGATTTAACTTCTGCCACCAGATTATTGACTCTTTGCTTATAGACATGAAAAACATCAGTATTGACAGGAAGCTCCAATTTTTTCCTTAATCTTTAAATCATGATGCTAATCAACCCTTATATATTACTGCATCTAATACTCATAAATAACACTGTGAGGTAAGTAGCTTAATTTCCTGTACTTGAGACATTAAACTCCAAACTCATCAAGCTGTACACATTAATCATGTACAGGTTTTTGTATGAAGAAAAAAGAAAAGAAAGAAAAGAAAGAAAGAAAGAAAGAAAAGAAAAGAAAGAAAGAAAAGAAAAGAAAAGAAAAGAAAAGAAAAGAAAAGAAAAGAAAAGAAAAGAAAAACGAAACGAATAGGTAGAAGTACTGTGGTATAAAGTAAATCCATTTGTAAAATGGGGGAAAGTGCAGTTGACTCCCTTGTTTAACTCACAGGGATGTGCTTAAGAAAGTGACTGTTCTCCAGCCATTATCTGTACATTATGTCACTGTGCTCATGTTGCCAAGGAGCTGGGGCCCAATGACAGGCACCTGATCTTCTGATGAGCCTTATAAAATAATGAGGAGCTACTTCCTTTCTTGCCAGTGCATGTGATACATTCAGGTCCCTTATGAGGACAAGTGAGATGAACTGCTGCTTTTCTTAGTGTCAGCTTGCCAATGACAAGACTGATGATGAAAACTTATGCATTTTCTTCAGTAAGATGTCAATAGCTGTTTTAATGACGCAGGTGTAGTATGAGTCAATAGCTACCCTCAGGAATGACAAAAACAAAAACAGTAACATAAGGTACTAATGCAAGTCATACCTCTGTCATTATCATTTACATTTATTTTTTTAAGATTAATTTATTTATTCATGAGAGACACAGAAAGAGAGGCAGAGACATAGGGAGAGGGAGAGGCAGGCTCCCTGCAGGAGCTCAATGTGGGACTCAACCCCAGGACCTCAGGATCACACCCTGAGCTGAAGGCAGACACTAAACCACTAAGCCACTGAGGCATTCCTTTTTTTTTTTTAAGGCATTCCCATTATACCCATTATAATTTACATTTTAAAATATTTATACTTTCCTCCTCTTCTACTTTATTTTAATCTCCAAGATTACTTTTAGCCATTTACAAATGATTATTATTTTCATTGTAATCTATCCTCAGCCTAATTTTACGATATTATTTACCTCTGAAAGATGCAATGCCAACTTGAGGCCTGCTTTCTTAGCTTCTAAAAGAGGTTCCAAGAAGTCTTTTGCCTGTCCTACCTTGAAGATAAAAGTTAAAATGAAGATGCATGAGAATTCTAGGCAAACTGAAGAATTATGTACTGTGTCAATAAAGGAATAAAATAATAGCAAGAAAAAAGCAGATTGATTCATTTTAAAATTTCATTTATAAAGCACCTACAATGTGTTAGACGCTTTAGGGAATACTAAGCTGGCAAAGACACAATCCCTGACCTCAAGAATGTTAAGTCACATAAAGTCATGTATCAGTGAACCTGAAATCAATCAGCCACACTAGATATAGAGGTTGCCAAATTTTATTTTTGCAAGAAAATCTAGATTATCTAGTGCTAAGGAGAACTTGCATGATTCAGGAACTTGTATGATTACAGCAAAGAAAGCTTCTACCAAATGGATGAATGAAACAAGAGCAAAATAGTCCTGGTTTAGACAAAGACCTAAAAACCCATTTTGTGGGACTCTCTAAAATCCAGTGATTTTCAACTATGGTCAATTCTGCATACCTCACCAGGGGACATTTGGCAGTATCTAGAAACATTTTTGGTTGTTACAACTAGGAGGGTGCTACTAGTATCTAGTGGGTAGAGAAGACAGGGATGCTACTAAACATCCTGCAATAGATAGGACATCCTCCCAGGACAAAGGATTATTTGGCCCACAATGTCAATAGTGCCACAAGTTTGACAGTGAGACACTGTCCTTGAATCTGACATTCAAGAAGCTCTAGGCCAGCCTTTCTCAACTGGAGGTTCTATGAGATAATTAAGGCCAAGCCATAATTAAATATTAAACATGAATCCTATGTAATGAATTAATTAATCTCCTCTCATGCAAATCTTACTTTTTTCTTTTTTTAGAGTGCTTAATTCTTTCACGGAACCCTGGCTGAGAATAGCTGCTACAGACATTCTGGGCCACCCAGGGCAGGATGGGTCTTTTTTAATTTTTAAAAGTTTATTTGAGAGAGAGAGAGAGAGAGAGAGAGCGAGTGTGAGCGGGGGTGAGTGGCGGGAAGCAGATGCGCCTTTGACCAGGGAGCCTAACATGGGGCTCTATCCCAGGACCCTGAGATCATGACAGAGTGAAGGGAGATGCTTAACCGACTGAGCCACCCAGGTGCCTCTATGTTTTTAAAAAAAGATTTTAGTTATGAATAGGTCTTTATCCACACAGAGAGTCTGCTGGACCTCTGGAGAATCCAGGATGCCCCAAGCTCATCCTTACCCAACAAACTGATTCTACCTTTCAGAATTAAAATGTATTTAGGAAAAACAGCTTACAGTAGGGTCTCCACTGAGGTCAAGGCCAAGAACTGTATTGTCAGTAGAGAGGAAGAACTCTTCAGCAAGTTTAACAGTCTCCTTGGCTACTGAAGGGCCACCTCTTCTGTCAATTGCTATCAAATACCTTTAAAATAAGAAAAATAGAGTTGAAAACAAATATAGCCCAGATGAAAAAATATGGCCAGAGAGGTATGGCAGTCTGCATGTAAAAGTTCCTTAGTAGAAATACTGCCTGACACAGAGGGGGACACTTGACGGGATGAGCACTGGGTGTTATTCTGTATGTTGGTAAATTGAACACCAATAAAAATTAATTTATAAAAAAAAAAAAATACTGCCTGAGTGATAGGACAGCTTACTTTGCCAGAGGGCATGACACATAAATTCCTAAATAGCACCAAACATCTAGTTAGTATTCAAATTCTTAAATGTTTCATATTTTTTTCTTGTATTTGTTGTTCAGTTTGTTTGATTCAGAGTTCAACTAAGGTCCATGCATTGTGTTGGTCAATGCATCCCAAGTTTCTTTTAATCTAGCACTCCCTCCATGCCCTATCTTTCCTCTTCTCTGCAACCCTCCACTGTTCTTGAACTCATTTATTGAAGAAACCAGGTCCTTTGTTCTAAAAAGTTTCTCACAATATTCATTTTTCTGAGTGAATTCTTGTTGTTAATCTGTTTCTCCCTTGATATCTATAAACTGAAAATTGGATCTGATCTAGAGGCTTGATCAGATTCGATTTTTTAGCAAAAGTATAACCTAAGTGGTGGTGTGTTCTTTCATCAGGAGGCTAAGATCCATTATTTAATTAAGTGTTAAAAAATTGGTAATATTATTTTTTTAACACATATCCAATAGCTGATGCAAAGTCATTCTTCAGGTTAGCTGGAATTCTACAAGGCATCTAATACCCAGATGCCTGGTTTTTTGTTTTTTTTCTTCAGATAAAATATTATAGGTTTATTTAAAACTTAATTCTCACCTTGAGTATGCAAAATACAAGCTCCACAAAATGTTCATTTTTTACTTTGTAGTTTACAAATATACAAAATAGAAGTTTGCTTAAATTTATATTACATATTTATTAAGGCAAGGAACTATATAGAAAAAAAACATTTGTTCTGCTTAAGGCATACTTGGGAATAAACCATTGTACAAATTATTGCACATCTGAAACCACTGTGCATAACAGACTGCATAAAAAATGTTAAAGAAGTAAACCAGGCATATTTACCTGACTTAGGTCATAAATGTAGATCGGAAGACAAAAATTAACTCCTGTTAATATTGCATATTTTTCATCCAGCATTTACTAATTTTTAAAAAAATTTTAAAAGAAGATTTTTATTTATTTATTCATGAGAGACACAGAGAGATAGGCAGAGACATAGGCAGAGGGAGAAGCAGGCTCTCTGTGGGGAACCTGATGTGGGACTCAATCCCATGTCCTGGGATTAACCTGAGCTGAAGGCAGACGTTCAACCACAGAGCCACCCAGGCATCCCAGCATTTATTAACTTATTTTTTTACACACACACAAAATTCCTCCAGCATTTATTTATTTACAAATTTTGGAACAACTATATATAAATGCAGTTTTTTTTAACTTAACAATTTCTCCTGCCATTAAATAATGTTAGAAAACAATATAAATCATCGGGACATAACATAATGTAACTGTCCTCTGATTGCTAAATGTTTTAGGATGTTTTCCACTTTTTGCTATAAATAACACTACAGGGGCTCCTGGGTGGCTCAGTCAGTTAAGCATCTGCCTTGATCCCAGGGTCCTGGGAATGGCCCAGTATCTAGGCTCCCTGTTCAGCAGGGAGTCTACTTCTCTCTCTGTACCCCTGCCCCCGCTTGTCTCTCTCTCATGTTCTCTCAAATAAATAAATAAATAAATAACACTACAATAAAGAATCCTACACAGGGATCCCTGGGTGGCGCAGCGGTTTAGCGCCTGCCTTTGGCCCAGGGCACGATCCTGGAGACCCGGGATCGAATCCCACATCGGGCTCCCGGTGCATGGAGCCTGCTTCTCCCTCTGCCTGTGTCTCTGTCTCTGTCTCTCTCTCTCTGTGACTATCATAAGTAAATAAAAATTAAAAAAAAAAAAAAAGAATCCTACACAAAATCAATTTATTTCCTTAGGATACATCTCTAGAAATGGGAGTACTGGGTCAGAGGGAAACATCTTTATACATCTTAATACATACTGCTTTTTATTTTTATTTTTTAAAAAAGATTTTATTTATTCATTGGAGACAGGGATACACAGAGAGAGAGAGAGAGAAAAGAGAGAGCATGAGCAGGGGGAGAGAAAGAGGGAGGAGAAGCAAACTCCGCATTGAGCTGGGAGCCTGACACAAGGCTGGATCCCAGGACCTGGAGATCACAACCTGAGCCAAAGGCAGACACTTAGCCATCTGAGCCATCCAGGCGCCCCACATACTGCTGTTTAAAGAAATTTTTATTTAGGGGCACCTGGATGCCTCAGTCAGATAAGCACCTGCTGTTACTTCAGGTCATGTTCCAGAGTCCAGGGATCAAACCCTGTATCGGGCTCCCTGCTCAATGGGAAGTCTGCTTCTTCCTCCCCGCTCTGCTCCTGCTCTCTCTCTGCATGCTCTCTTGCTTGCTCACTCTGTCTCAAATAGATAAATAAAATATTTAAAAAAAGAGGTATTTAAAATATGCTTACTAGCAATGTATAAGTTCACAAATAGTGGTTATTACCCTTTTTTGGGGGGGCTACTGAAATGGCATTGTAATATTTCTTTTTAAAATTATCTGATTATGGGTGCCTGGGTGGCTGTCAGTTGAGTGTCCAACTCTTGATTTCAATTCAGGTCATTATCTGAGAGTTGTGACATCAAGCCCCACGTCAGGCTCCATGCTTAGCAGGCAGTCTGCTTGAGATTCTCTCATTCCTTCTCCTTTTGCCTCTCCCCCACCCCTGCACGCGCACGCGCACACACACACACACACACACACACACACACACACACCCTCCCTCAAATAAACAAATCTTAAAAAAAATAATCTGATTAGTGAAATTAAATAGTTCCCTGTACACTTACTGGTCATCTGTAAGTGTTCTTTTCTGAATTCTCTAGTCTTTTGCCTGCTTTTTTTTTTTTTTTTTTTTTTGAGAGGGATATGAGTGTTAGTCTAGTTAAGCTTAATATGGAGAGATTTTATAGCCAGAAACTTCACAGGTAGCTTTCTTCCTTCAAGGACTTACTGAGTCCTGATTATATATCACTTCTAAGTACTGGGGGGGTGGTGGAAAACAAAAGATAAGGTTCCTGGCCTCATGAATTTTTACTCGAGTGGGTATGTACACACAAATAAAACAAGATAGTTTCTGACCTTGTTAAGAAGAGTGCCACAAAGGAAATAAAAGGATTACTAGAGGATTTAGAGGGATGGGGGGCACTTTAGATAAGGTGGTCAAGGAAGGCCCCTCTGAGGAAGCGAAAGGCAAATTGAGAACTCAATAATGAAAAGCTTGGGATGCCTGGGTGACTCAACGGTTGAGCATCTATCTGACTTTGGCTCAGGGCATGATCCCAGAGTCCCTGCACGGAGCCTGCTTCTCCCTCTGCCTTTGTCTCTGCCTCTCTCTCTCTGTCTCTCATGAATAAATAAATAAATCTTAAAAAAATAATAATGAAAAGCTAGCCATGCAAGGATATGGTGGAAGTGTGTTCAAGGCAAAAGTAACAGGAAGTACAAAGGTGCTGAGGTGGGACACTCTTGGCCTGTTTGAGGAAGAGAGAGCAAACCAGTGTATAACAATGACAAGTGTTCTACATAAAGCTGTTGAAGTCAGAGAGGCAGCCAGATTACATGGGACCTTGTAGGCCACAATAAGAAGTCTGGATTTTGGCTGAAGAGCAATGGGAAGCTGTATTTCTCTAGAGCAACATTACTCAGAATTTTATTCCCACATGGTAAATTTAGAATTGCATTCTCAACTATAAGCAACAGAGTTCTTCATTCTGTTTTTCTAAGATAAGAATCAGTTATTGTTTGACTTATAAAAATCTATTTTACTTATGATCAAAATAGTAACATTTTCACATTCTACTTTTTCTAAGGTACAATGCTTCTTACCTAACATCAATGTCTATGTTTTCTTGTTTGGACTGTTTTATACCCTCAAGTACAGATTCCACATAAGTCTTTTTAGTCATTCCTGGAAAGGACATAAAGAAAATATTTATAAAGAGATCATCAGTTATTTCATCCTTCAACATTCCTCTATGGGGATCCCTGGGTGGTGCAGCGGTTTGGCGCCTGCCTTTGGCCCAGGGCGCGATCCTGGAGACCCGGGATCGAATCCCATATCGGGCTCCCGGTGCATGGAGCCTGCTTCTCCCTCTGCCTGTGTCTCTGCCTCTCTCTCTCTCTCTGTGTGACTATCATAAATAAATTTAAAAAAAATTAAAAAAAAAAAACATTCCTCTATGAACAATTACATTTTTATTTTATGCTGTGACAAGAGCATAATCAAAGATAAGTTAAAACATGGCCTTATGGGTACATTCTCATAAATGCTAATCGTGCTTTTGAAAAAAAATTTTAAATGAAGTACTAGAAAGCAGAAAAAAAAAGAAAATATAAGCCCACTTAAAAATTATTATTAGATTCAACAGACATAAAACTACTGTTATGGCTGGCTCAGTCGGTAGAGCATCTGACTCTTGATCTCAAGGCCATGAGTTCAAGCCCTATGTTCAGTGTGGAGCCTACTTAAGAAAAAAAAAAAAAAAGCCTAAAAAACCAACAAACAAAACTATTCTCACAAACTGCTATAGAAATCTGAAATGTTCACTCTAATAAAACAAGAATAAGCCTTTTTCTAAGGTCTGTCCTTAAAAAAACAAAGACAAAAGCAAATCATTTTTCCCTATTAGCAGAATGTTTTCCTGCTGGTCCAGAAAAGAAATCCCTTCTTGGGTTCCTGCCTCTTCAATACTGGTCAGGCTCAGTGTTTCCTGTCCAAGGGTACCAAGGGTACTAGAGCAATTCTTCCAATTTTAGGTGCACAAGTCTTCTTCTTCTGGGGAGCTCTGAAAGAGCACTTTCCAGAGCAACCTCCTCTAAAACACTCTTATCCCCCAATCATAAAATGCTTACTTTAGGTGGAAAAATCTCTAATAACACAGAAAATTATAAAGAAAAAAATGAGTAACCTATAATCCCACCATTCAGAGATAACCACTGTCTTTTTCTAAGTATACACATATATTTTTTTGAATAGATGAGGTGCTACTAGGTATATATATGTATCCTGTTCAGTCATTTAACACTGTATTCTGAGTGTTATCCCCAAGTCTATAGTGTCTTTGCAAATATTTTTAATGGTTGCCGAATATTCCATTAACCCCCCTCCCTTTTTTTTTAAGATTTATTTATTCACGAGAGAGACAGAGAGGCAGAGGGAGAAGCAGGCTCCATGCAGGGAGCCCGACAGGGGACTCAATCCCTGGTCTCCAGGATCAGGCCCAAGCCAAAGGCAGCTAAACCACTAGGCCACTGAGGCTGCCTTCCATTAACCCTTATTTAACCATTCCCCTATATTTGCATATCAGGTTAGCATCCCTCTTTGAATCTCCATTCAAAGAGCAAACGAGCTCTGGTAAGTGGCAAGTTTCTTCTCTCCTTTTCACTATCCTCACCACAACCTGGAACTGATCCTGCAATTTAAAAATGCATGGTAAGAATCTTCTGTTTATCCCATTTCAACTCTTAACTCTATGTAGTTTTAAAAATGTTATCCCCTGAATGACTGGGCTACACATATCAGGGTTCACAATGAACCAGCAGGGCCTCTTCAGGTCACAGACAAATGACAAAGAGGGACTGACACTACAAAATATCTCTTGATGCTGTCCTTATGAAAAGAGGGTCCCAGGAAATTTCTTCAGACCATATCTAGATCCACTTATCTCCATCCAGAGAGGTTTTACCACCTTGCTGGTTGCTCCTGACCTAAGACACTATCAGTCTCTGAGAAGTGACTGAAAAACTTTCATTTCTGTGATTTTCATAAAACATGATTCAGCATCTATTTGGTGGAACTGTCTCACATGTGCTCTTGATGCAAGAAGTAGCCTCCAATTAAGACAATGTAACTATAAGAAGGATCCTTTTCTCAGAGTGAGAAAAACAAATAAGAACCAACAAAATTTTTGAAGGCCTTTTAATTCCCTTAAACAGATAATCTCTGACCTGATTTTTAAACTTAGTAACTCACTCACTCATAATGTACATCAGAAGATTTGGACTGTTGAATCTGTAATACTGTAAAAGTAAGTGCTTCATATTCTCAACTTATAAACACATGAATCATCAAAGCATAGAGGAAAAAGGTATATTTGCTGAGAAGTAATTAAATCCTACCTGTAGCATTTTCTCTTCTGGGTGTGCTCCTTAGTTCCAGGTACTTGACACCATCATCTGCAAATTCTTTAATGACATCTTTTGTGACCTGATAATTAAGGCAATGGACACAATATTGATAATGTTGGTGTTAAGGTCCCAATGAAAATGCCAAATGCTACAGCTCTATTTCATTTGCAAAATATATTGCAAGTCTCTCACATGGCTAAGATGGCCTGCTTTGTCATATCCCTGTTGCAGACTGTGACGGGACTATAACACTTCCAAGAACTCCCATCACAACCCTCATTCTCACTTTAAATCCAAATCTGCACATCACATGTACTTTTTATTTCTATTTTCTCCTTTTAGCCATTTCTCCATTTCCTAGTATTCATAACAGCAGTTGATAAAACAGAGAAATGAGGCAAAACTAAAATTACTTATGAGTGTGTAGTACTAGGAAAGTACATATGGAAGCAAGTAGCTAAAACAATTAGGCATTACTGATATACCATTTAAAGTCATGGCTTGGGATCCCTGGGTGGCGCAGCGATTTAGCGCCTGCCCTTGGCCCAGGGCGCGATCCTGGAGACCCGGGATCGAATCCCACATCGGGCTCCCGGTGCATGGAGCCTGCTTCTCCCTCTGCCTGTGTCTCTGCCTCTCTCTCTGTGTGTGTGTGACTATCATAAATAAGAAAAAAAAAAAAAAAAAAGACTTGCAGCTGTCTTTAAAAAAAAAAAAAAGTCATGGCTTAAGGTTCTTATTCAAGTTATTTACAAATGAAAGTTGTACTTTTCAAGAGTTTCTTCAGGCAGGGTGAAATTTTCCCCAGAGTTTCTTCAGGCAGGGTGAAATTTTCCCCAGAAGTTTCTTCAGGCAGGGTGAAATTTTTCCCCAGAAAAAAATTTCTCTTTGGCAAAGGAAATGGGTGATAAATATGAGTAAAATGGTATCCAATTTAGTACAAATTTTAAAAATCCAAAAATAACTAAATGACTAGGGTCAATGGTATTAAAAGGATGAAAGCATGTTTTTCTTCTCTGCCATCCATCCTAAAAAAAAAAAAAAAGAAAGAAAGAAAGAAAAAGAAAATCAAATCTAGAAGAAAAAAGGACCAGGTTGGTAATGCTGTGACAACCAGCCCTAGTTAGTCCCTGTAGTTGGTATCCTGATCTTAATCTGTTTTGACTACATGTACATGGGCATGCAAGTGCAGTGTCCTGGTAAAAGAACAAAGGTTGGCTGATTGTGTAGGCAGTGCCTAACAAGGCAGCACTACTTTGGTGGATTCATTGTAATCCAAGGTCTGGGCTTCATCTGGAGTGTGTGTGTGTATGTGTGCACGTGCATGTATGTGTACATTTAACTAAAGCCAAAAAGGAATTTATTATAATTATACTAAGTTAAAATTCACCAGGAGTTCTGGAAAATCAGCCTCAGAGACTACACAGCTCAGGTCAACACAAAAGCATTCAAAATCATGTGACACTCTTGGACCAAGCAAGACACTACTGCTTCCTCCACTATAGAGCAAGACCCTGCAGCTTCTGTACCATCATCACAGGCACCGGACCCCATGGCACTGCAAACTCCATGTTGCTGCCAATGCTACCACCAGAGTGTAGGCCTCATCTACGCAGGCCAAGGAACTGTAGTTACCAGCTCATATGTGGCTAATGCAGAAGCCTATTTGTTATGTATGCAGTGACAATGAGGGTGAAATGAAGGTATGAAATGGCAGTCCTTAGTGACTAATAAGACCACAGCTACTATCCAAGGTACCCTTTTTCTTGGTTTCTTGAGCTACCAGTGAAACCAAACAGAACAACAGAAGCTGCTGGCAAGTATGGAATGAGAGCAGTGGGACGATTTATGTAGGCCATGGTGAGGCCTGTGGTATCATTCCTACTCATGTCCAAACACTTCTTGGGGTTCCCAATCATGTCTGCCAGATTAGGCCTTTCTGCTCCATGCAGCAAGTGGTACTGAGGACAACTGTTATTTGAGTTCCTTCTTCAGACAGAGTACATCCACAATTAGTTAAGTTTCTGCTTACTCAAAGGATGGTAAGACTGCATCTCTTGAATGAGAAAGAACATGGGCTCTGGACTCAGAGCCCAAAGATCATCAATTCTGCCACTTACTCTCCCTATAAGTGACCCGAACAAGTTACATGTAATCAATTTAAGCCTCAGGGGTTTTTTTTCATCTGCAAAAAGGGAACAATAAGAATACCCACCTCAGAAAGTAGTCTTGGATGTCTGTCTGGCAAATGCAATAGTTAATATTATTATTTCAGGCACATTCCAATCCTTTCTCTTTGAGATTACATCCAGGTCATCTTGACTAAACTCTTAAGTGATCCCATACACTTGGTCTCACGTTTACGAACAAACAATCTCTTGGCTTACTCCCACACAAGGTTCACTTATTATATGTAAATGCTATTAACTCCATTCTCAATGTCATTCTTCTGAACCACCTAAAGTTGCTCATTTGGGACGCCTGGTTGGCTCAGTTGGTTAAGTGTCTGCCTTTGGCTCAGGTCATGATCCCAAGGTCCTGAGATCGAACCCCACATCTGGCTCCCTGCTCAGCAGGGAATCTGCTTCTCCCTCTTCCTCTGCCTGCTGCTCCTCCTGATTCTACTCTCTCTTTCTAATAAACAAAATCTTAAAAAAAAAAAAAAAGAAAAGCTTTAAAGTTGCTCATTTTAGTACCACTAAGTCAAATCACAGAATCGCAATTCCACCATTTTATTTAAAGATTTTATTTATTTGAGAGAGACTGCTTCTTGGCCTTTTGGCTAAGATCAAGTGTATTTATCTGAGAGAGCATGCATGAGCGCACAAGCGCATATAATCGTGCTTGAGTTGTGGGAGGGACAGAGGGAGAGAATCCCCAAGCATACTCCCCAATAAGCCAAAGTGGAGGGGGGGTGCTCCATTTCATGACCTTGAGATCTTACCCTGAGCTGACCACCCAGGGGCCCTTCCTTATCTCATTTTTTAAAAATTATTTTTTAATTTAAATTCAACTAATTAACATATATTATTGGTTTCAGAGGTAGAGGTCAGTGATTCATCAGTCTTATATAATACCCAGTGCTCATTTACATCACATGCCCTCCTTAATGTCCATCACCCCATTACCCCATCCCCTCACCCCCCTCTCCCTCAGTGACCCTCAGTTTGTTTCCTATGATTAGAATTATGGTTTGTCTCCCACTGATTTCATCTTGCCTTACCTCATTTTAATAAAGCTTTTTACCAACTTTGAAAGGAATGAAATAATGAGCATAACATTACTCTAGCTCTAGATAAACTCTCAGAATCCAAGATTTCATCAGTTTTACTCTGTTACAATCAACAACAGAAAGTGAGACATTCCTAGCAGCATTCAATATCTATTGAGTGGCTAATTAGACAATCCTCTTTTGAGTTCCTATAAATCCCTGTGTGTGTCTCTAACACACAGCTTACCTCATTATGTTGGATTGATGTGCTTATGTATCTGTTTCTCTAATCTAACTATACATTCCTCAGGGGGCACTCTCTTTAACACAGTGCCTAGAACATTATGGGCACTTAGGCAACTTTTATTAAACTAAACTTTCGAAGTCAACTCTCCTCTAAAGGGTGATCAATTTACTTAATATTTATCATGAGGATCAGTCTCAGCCAGGAAGGAAAATTTCTTTCTTGACCAGTCAAGAGTTAATTCTCAAGGTCATACCTCTTACTCTGCATTTTTTTTCTTTTTTTTTAATTTATTTTTTATTGGTGTTCAATTTGCCAACATATAGAATAACACCCAGTGCTCATCCCATCAAGTGTCCCCCTCAGTGTGCATTTTTTTTTAATGATTATGAAAACTGATAGGATTCTGTTTTTCTCCAGTTACAAAGAGTACATTTTAAAATGCCACCCTAGTCAGACAATGATACAGAAGCCAGTCATCCTTATCAGAGTCTAGTATCACAGAGTTTCAGATAGGACGACACAGAGGTGGGAGGCCTGGGTGGCTCAGTCAGTTAAGCATTTGCCTTCAGCTTAGGTCGTGATCTGGGAGTCCCAAGATGGACCCCGAGCCCCGCATCGCATTGAGGCATTGAGTCCTGCATGGAACCTATGCTCAGCAAGAAGTCTGCTTTTCCCTCTGCCCCTCCTTCTGCTCATGCTCTCTCCCTCTCACTTTCTCAAATACATAAATAAAATCTTTAAAAAAAAAGAGAGAGAAAGATAGAGAACACAATGGTGTCCTCTAATCCTCCATCTCCAGAAGGAAGGACTAGGAATTAACCATTCAATCTCTAATTACTTCCTGAACTTCATTCTTTATACTGTCCACCCAGGCAGTTAAAAGTATATCAAGTAGTATCTCAAGTAGTACAGATAAAGCCTTATCAAGAAAATATCCATCTATGGTCAAATATTTCATTTGATATGGTATATATGGAAAACAGGACAAGATTTTATCCTCTATGTAACAGAATATGTTGATCTTGGTTCTTCTCTCAGATCTTTTACAATGAATGTAGTCTTTTGATATTAACTCTTAGCAATGTCCAATAATGGTTTTGAAAACAGTTGCCACAAAAAGGAGAAAATATTTTCATTAGGCTCTTGATGAAAGCAAAACTTCATGTGAATAACAGAAGGCTATAAATTACTTAATAATTTTTAAACCACTCTAAAAATTGCTTCATTTCTCACCATTAGAATATCTTCAGGGCTAGTAGTAAGCTGATGAATAATCTGAAACATCTGGAAACATCTGCAACAGGAAAAGTTTTAATATATTCTAGTCATCAAAAACTTGTCACTGGAGACAAATCCAACTAAACTGAATGAATATATTTTAGGCTACTACTAATTATATATTTATAAAGAACTACAGAATAGGTTCTTCAAAAATTACACTGATCTGGAAGGATAATCAAATGCCTGAAAAGAAAACGTTACTTTTAAGTGGGAAATACTATTTCCCTTTGCCACATCCCCTACCTCCTGTTGACAGCAGCAAACAGGGAGAAAAATCAATAAGCCTACATTTTAACCTCTAAAGAATATTCTAATATAGAATAACTTTACAAATGTTAATCACTAAAAATACTGTCAATGGTCTAACAGCTGGAAAAAAAATGCTATATGTTATACTCTCCATACCAGATAGCTACCCTATTAATTACTAAAATCTGGATTCTTACATAGTATTTACAATCTCAAAACTCTAATAGTGAATAAAAGAAGTATGTCCACAACCTCCCCAAACTTACTCTTCTAAAGTTCTTTTCTTTCCCTTATCAATCATAGTCATCTGATCATTGATTTTAAGACCTGGCTTCTTGGCTATCAATTTCTTCATAGTATTAGAACTAATGGATCCATTTAAGTGGGCATGAAGTTCCTAAAACAAGAGAATACAATTAGTAAAAATTTCTCAAATAGCCACTAGATTTATAGCATCATACCAGGTACCTCATGTTTGTAATTTGCACTAGGCAAACTGCCTACTAGATGTAACTATATAACTTTTAAAGTTTACAAAATTTACAAATTCTACCTATAAAATTTACTTTTCTTTGAGGAAACAAACAAACATAGACATCCTTATACTTAGCAACCACTCCAGTATTCTGTGGTTGAATTCTCACCACTTTAGGTAATTCTGAGTAAAAGGCTGTCTTCCACGGCTGTTGGTTTTCTTCTGCTTCCATCATGATTTAGCGGAATAAAAAGGTCTTTCTCCAAATACTGTTATTCTTGTTATGAACAGTGCTTCAGTCAGTAAGTTCTGTGATCTTCAATTTCCTTCAGTTTGTTCTACGTCCACACATTTTGATAAGATAAACTGTAGATGTAGCTCTGAGCTCAGGTTCCCCTATTTAAACAAATGTGAACATTTTCAGATGTTGACCTAAAAACAAAGAAACAGAATTTTGCAGTTTATTCTTCAAAAGGCAAAAAGCCAACTGGAGGGTATTATGCTAAGTGAAGTAAGTCAATCGGAGAAGGACAAACATTATATGTTCTCATTCATTTAGGGAATATAAATAATAGTGAAAGGGAATATAAGGGAAGGGAGAAGAAATGTGTGGGAAATATCAGAAAGGGAGACAGAACATAAAGACTCCTAACTCTGGGAAACGAACTAGGGGTGGTGGAAGGGGAGGAGGGCAGGGGGTGGGGATGAATGGGTGACGGGCACTGAGGGGGGGCACTTGACGGGATGAGCACTGGGTGTTATTCTGTATGTTGGCAAATTGAACACCAATAAAAAATAAATTTATTATAAAAAAATAAAAATAAAGCTGGAAAAAATACAATAAAATAAAACTGGCTTAAAATTTTGTATTTTACCACAACACAAAAGGAAAAAAAAAAAAAAGGCAAGAGCCCCTTCAATGCTATTAAAGCAAATTAACCTAACCTAGAAATAAGAAAAGGCCTCAAACTGGTAAGAAGTTAATTAAAATATGAAATTTAGTAAGGTGTATTCCTTACCTATTAGATCCTTTATAAATTTTTTTTTACCAGTTCTGCCGTTTAGTAGCTATATGGCCTTAGTTACTAAACTAATGGTTTCAGCTTCCTTATTTGTAAAAATGGGATACAAATGCAGAGTAGCTATGAAGATTAATCAAGTAATTTAAATTCCCCTCTGCTATGCTCCTGTATAATTCAGTGACTACCTTTAAGTTAGCACTTTGTCACATTGTATCTCAGTCACTGTTTTGTTTTTTTAAGCTCCATACCTAGCATGGAGCCCAACACAAGGTTTAAATCACAACCCTGAGGTCAAGACTTGAGCTGAGAGTAAGAGTCTGATGCTTAACCGACTGAGCCATACAGGTACCCCATCTCAATCATTGATTTACTTGTCTTTCTTCCTCACCAGACTATAATCTTCAGAAGAACAATGACTATGGCTTATTCTACCTCCCTAAGACCTAGGACAGTGCCTAGCACATTGTTGGTGATAAATAAAGCCTAATTTCCCTTCACCTCTGAAGTGGCTTATAAATTAAGATAAAATTCCAAATGAAATTTAGTGATTTCTCAGAATAGCCACCCTAATCCTCTGGGTTCTCACATATTAATGATAATGATGTTGATAAAAACAGTTCTCATTCAGAGCCCACCAGATAAGTGACAAGTGCTTTTACTATTAAGTTTGATTCTTGCAATAACTTTGCAAAATAAATACTTCTGCTACAACACAAATCAGTAAATTGATACTGAGAGGGGTTACATAAGTTGCCCTGATATTAAAATGGGCAAAAAGGAAAAACAGTTTGGGGGCACCTGAGTGGTTCAGTAGGTTGTGTCCAACTTTTGTCTTCAGCTCTAGTCATGATCTCAGGGTCATGGAATTGAGCCCCACATAGGGCTCAGTGCTCAGAGCGATCTGCTAGAGATTCTCTCTCTCTCCCTCCTCCTCTGCCCCTCCCCTTGCTCATGCTCACTTGCTCTCTCTCAAATAGATAAAATCTTAAAAAAAGGGAACCCTGGGTGGCGCAGCAGTTTAGCGCCTTCCTTTGGCCCAGGGCGCGGTCCTGGAGACCCGGGATCGAATCCCACGTCGGGCTCCCGGTGCATGGAGCCTGCTTCTCCCTCTGCCTATGTCTCTGCCTCTCTCTCTCTCTCTCTCTGTGACTATCATAAATAAATAAAAATTAAAAAAAAAATCTTAAAAAAAAGTAGTTTTATAGAAAGGCACTTGCAGACATTTCATTTGCAGTCATTTCAGGAAAGACTGAGCATCTTTCCTCTATAGTGTCTGATTTTAATGGATGATACAAAAGATAAGTCAGGATGTTTGTATTTTTTTGCCCCAGCCAATCAAGAGGTTTCACCTAAGCTTCTAGAAAGGAAGGTGAAATAAACTCTCATCTATGCCTTTAACAGGTAAGAACTACACCTTACTAAATTTCAGATTTTAATTCACTTCTTGTACCCATATTCCTCTTTATTCTTCCCATATTGTCCTGTCTCTCCTTTCATTCTAAGCCAAGCTCCTTGAAGGCATAATTTAGACTGGCTGCCTCTATTTATTTATCTCCCATTCACTGAAATAATGAATTCTGCCCTTACTGCTCCACAGAAATTGCTCTCTGAAATCATTTAGAGCTCTTCAACGCCAAATCTAAAGACACTTTTCAGTTATCAAACCTTTATCCTGACTCAAACCTCCGAGTTCCAGTATCCAAATCCAAATTGGCTGAACTCCTAAACTCTTGCTCTTAATCATTCTGCTAGACTGCTGCAAGATAACCATACTTAGAGTCATCCTGATTTCCTTCTTCACCTTAGGCCCTGCAGTCAGGCACCAAATCCCAATTAATAAATTATAAATTTCCTCAATATCTCTGGAAGCGGTTTCCTACTGTTGATGACTTCCAAACCTCCAACTCAAAAACAACATAATGCTTATTTTAAACCCCCAACAAGACTCAGACCCTATCAGAGGGAATAATTACCCCCCTTCTGTGATCTCCCTCTTTCGTGGATATATTCAACAGTACCCTAGAGTCACAGACTTTTGGAGGTGGAGGGGAATGTCATTTTATAGCTGAAAAATAAAGGTTTTACTTATTGTCAGCTTTGCACAGAGCCGGGAATACAAGAGAATTAATACTATATATATGCGGGGAAACATTTACTGGGTGAACCACAACCTCTGTAAAAGTTTCATTTTGCACCTGGCCTCACTGACTTGTTTTCCGTTAAATGGGACTCTTTTTAAACTGTGCAAGTATTAAATAAATTAGTAATTACTAGTGGTTAGCATCTGAGGAACCACCCCTTCTTCGCCCTGCCCATCAACCAAGGTCAGTGGTTCTAATCCTGCTTTGTCCCACCAGAATACTCGGCGCTGACCCTGCCGTCCAAGGAAGTCCGGTTGTCAGTCCCCACACACTCACCCTTAAAGGTGTCCGTCAATAGTTGAGTCAACTAAGAGGACTCAGCTAAATTTTCCCTTCGGATGGAAAGGCTTGTTGCGCTTCCCAGACACAGTCCAGGTGCCCACAATAAGCCGGAGGGCGTCTGTCTTCCCGGAAAACGAAGTCTCAGAAAAGTCCCCCCCGCCATGTCAATCACAATCGATTTTAGCACAAGCTACACCCTCCTCAATTCTGATTGGAGAGGGGCCCACGTCGCGGAAGTGACGCACACACAAGCGGAAGGGAAGTCACGGAGGAAGGGTGCTTCTTCCGTACCGACGTCCCCGAGGTGGCTACTCCCGCACCAAAGAGAGCTCACCACGGAGACGGACCGCCGCTCCTCACGCTCTTCTCGGCCATGGGCCCGCGGGGCCGCGAGCGTCGGTCGGGGGCGGTACAGAGCACGAACGACAGCAGCGCCCTCAGCAAGAGTTCCCTGGCCGCGCACGGGTACGTGCACGACCCCTTTGCCGCGTTGCTGGTTCCGGGGACCGCGCGCCGCGCGCCCCTCATCCACCGCGGCTACTACGTCCGCGCACGCGCCGTGGGGCACTGCGTGCGCGCCTTCCTGGAACGGACGTGCGCGGCCCCCGGCGCTCCTCGCGCCCAGGTCGTATCGCTGGGAGCCGGTTCAGATTCGCTGTATTTTCGCTTGAAAACCGAGGGCCGCCTGACCCGGGCTGCAGTCTGGGAAGTAGATTTTCCGGACGTGGCCCGACGCAAAGCGGAGAGGATTCAAGATACGCCGGAACTGTGCGAGTTGACCGGGCCTTTCCAGAGCAGGGACCCCGCATCCGTGCTGTGCTTTGAGAGCGCGGACTACCGCCTCCTAGGCCTGGACCTGCGGCAGCTCCCGCGATTGGACCAGGCCTTGGCCGCCGCCGGCCTTGACGCGGCTGCACCCACGCTGCTCCTGGCTGAGGCCGTGCTGACCTATCTGGAGCCGAATGATGCCGCGGCCCTCATTGCCTGGGCAGCCCAGCGTTTTCCTGATGCCCTGTTCGTGATCTACGAGCAGATGAGGCCACATGATGCCTTTGGTCAGTTCATGCAGCAGCATTTTCGGCAGCTCAGTTCTCCCCTGCATGGTCTGGACCGCTTTCCCGACGTAGAGGCCCAGCAGCACCGCTTCCTTCAGGCGGGCTGGACTGATTGTCGTGCCATGGACATGAATGAATTCTATCGCTGCTTTCTCTCCTCAGAAGAATGCCAGCGCGTGGAAAATCTTGAACCTTTTGATGAGTTTGAGGAGTGGCATCTGAAGTGCGCCCACTATTTCATTCTGGCCGCTTCAACAGGAGACACTCTGTCCCAAACTCTGGTGTTTCCACTCTCGGAGGTGTTTCCTCGAGTGGATCCTGCTTCTCCATCAGGAGTCTTCCCTGCTAGAATAGTCACTAGTGACAGCCAGGGCCGAAACCTTAAGAGATATGGGCATGCCTCTGTCCTTTTGAGCCCAAGCATTATTCTTAGCACAGGAGGATTTGGAGAGCAAGAGGGGCGGCATTGCCGAGTGAGCAAGTTTCACTTGCTCTCGAGATTTTGTGACTTTGAATGGAAAGGCAACCAAATATGCTGTTGTGGGACCGGAGCCCTGTGGGATGGACGCCTTTATCACACCATGACAAGACTTTCAGATACTCAGGTTTTGGTTCTGGGAGGGAGACTGTCCCCAGTAACTCCAGCCTTGGGAATTCTACAAGTTGGTGTTTGTAAGAGTGAGGACAACAGCACTGAGGACCTAAATGTAACAGTAAAAAAGGCTGGCCCAGAAGATTCCACGTTGTCATGTTGGCGGCATTCAACAACAGAAGTGTCCTATGAAAATCAGAAATATTTGTTTGTGTATGGGGGTCGAAGTGTCGTGGAACCTGTACTAAGTGACTGGCATTTCCTACATATGGGGACAATGGCTTGGGTCAGTATCCCAGTGGAGGGAGAAGCACCTGAAGGTCGGCATTCACACAGTGCCTGCAGCTGGCAAGGGGGAGCCGTTATTGCTGGAGGTCTGGGTGTTTCTGAGGAGCCACTGAGCTCTGTACTCTTTCTAAAACCAAGCTCTTGTGGATTCCTCTGGGAATCAATAGTCATCCAGCCTCCCATTACTCCAAGGTACTCCCACACAGCTCATGTGCTCAATGGGAAGCTTCTACTGGTTGGAGGGGTCTGGATTCATTCCTCCTCAGTTCCTGGAGTGACTGTAATTGATTTAACTACAGGATTGAGCTCTGAGTATCAGATTGACACAACATGTGTGCCATGGCCGTTAATGTTACACAATCATACCAGCATCCTCCTTCCTGAAGAGCAACAGCTCTTGCTCCTTGGAGGTGGTGGGAACTGCTTTTCCTTTGGCACCTACTTCAACCCCCATATAGTGACATTAGACCTTTCTTCCTTAAGTGCTGGAGAGTCGGACTGAGCTTTTGATATATTTAGGACACACTAACATAGACCATTAAAGGTTTCCACAAATAGGATTTGACTGTGGACATTACCACTCCTTCCTTCCCCCTTTTCTTCTCATTAGCACTGCTATCCACTGCAGAAAGTGAAAGAAGTTGTTAAAACATAACAGAGAGATGGTACAAAAGTAAAACATAAGTAGGCCTATCTGAAGAGAATACAGTCCTAGAGTAGGAATTGGGGCGGGGGGCGGGGTGGTGGTGGTTTGGATTCCTTTGTGTCTAGTTTATTGGTTTTCCTCATCTAAGTTTACTCATTTATTTAGAATGACCCTTAGCCTAAGGCAAGTGAAAAATTTCCCTCTGTCAGGCTTTGTGATTTGAGATGTTACTTTGAAAAAGTTTAACACAGATCCTTGGTAAGAATACAAGGTCAATACTCACAGCAGTCCCAGTGGCACAGCGGTTTAGCGCCGCCTGCAGCCTGGAGTGTGATCCTGGATATCTGGGATTGAGTCCCATGTCAGGCTCCCTGCATGGAGCCTGCTTTTTCCTCCCCGCCCCCCTCTGTCTCTATGAATAAATAAAATCTTAAAAAAAAAAACACACACAACAAGGTTGATACTCTGGTTTCTCTGCATATTACATAAATCTTTTGCTTTTTACTAAAGATTTCTGTGGAGAGGTAATGAGTTGTTTTTGTTTTAAGATTTATTTATTTATTTATGATAGACACAGAGAAAGAGAGGCAGAGACACAGGAGGAGGGAGAAGCAGGTTCCATGCCAGGAGCCCGATGCGGGACTCAATCCCGGGTCTCCAGGATCGCACCCTGGGCCAAAGGCAGGCGCTAAACCGCTGAGCCACCCAGGGATCCCCGTAATGAGTTTTTAGCCAATTTTTGAGGCCTTGTTTTTAGGAGGCTATCTTGAAAGAATACAAGGTTGAATATAGCTGAAGGGACATGATTTGACCTCATTCTTCATGTATGAAATCTGAAACGGACTCAGTTACAGTTTGATTAAAGCATTGTGCCATTTAGTGCAGCGCAGAACAGGGATAGCTTTAGTAAGACACATTGGTTAGACTTTATTGAAAAATAGGGCTTTTTTTTTTGCCACTGGTTCCATATTATTTAGATTTATAATGCTAATAAGCCAAACATTTGATGCCTCAACTTATTTTCTACATGGTTAGCTAATGTTTTGCTCCAGATCTAGTCTCTATCCTTTAGTATGGAGAACATAGTATGTTCTGTGCTGACCTTATGGACTATAAAAAAGTTTTCTTGTCCTCAAGTTTCTGGTGAATTCTACCAGTCAGGCACCAGAGGGAGGGTGGTTGGGCAGGAAGAATGGGTCAGGATACTCTGTTTCCTCTGCCAATCTGCAAGTTAGCAGTGGATGCATTCTCTGTCAAAGGCTACACAGCTCCTGTCCTACAGTTCTCTCCAATAAGATATGGTCCTAATTCTGCATTACTCCAGGTTCCAGTAATTGTTCTTCCTTACCACTTTAGGCTTAGGAGTTCTAATGGCTCTCTTAGACCTGAGCTGCACTGTCCAATATAGCAGCCATTAGTCACATATGGCTATTTAAACTTTAAGATAAAATGAAGAATTCAGTGACTTAGTTGCATTAATCAATTTTTTAAAACATGTATTTAGGAGAGCACATGAGAGTGGGCAGAGGGGGAGAGAGAGAATCTCAAGCAGCAAATTCCCCACTGAGTGTGAGCCTGACATGGGGCTCAAATCCCATGATCCTGAGATCATAACCTGAGCTGAAATCAAGAGTCAGAGGCTTAACCCTTCCAAGTCACCTAGGCACCTCTCATTAATCAATTTTAAGTGCTCAATAGCCACATATAGCTAACGTCAATGGTATTAGTGTAGATGTAGAACATTTCTATTTTTGAGAAAGATCTGGACAGCGGCACCTGGGTGGCTCAGTGATTGAGCGTCTGCCTTTGGCCTAGGTTGTAATCCCAGGGTCCTGGGATTGAGTCCCACTTCAGGCTTCCTGCAGGGAGTCTGCTTCTCCTTCTGCTTATGTCTCTGCCTCTCTGTGTCTCTCATGAATAAATAAATAATATCTTAAAAAAAAAGATCTGGACATCTGAGATATTTCACCATCCTGACTTGGTTTCCCTTAATCCTATTCACTTTTAATTAAAGTATCTTCATTAAAGTCTTCTCAATTATCCTTTCAGTGGGTCATCTTTCCTGGTGAACTTTGTGAAATCAATGTAGTATTTTATACAATGTGAAAATACAATGTAGTACAATGTAGTATTTCAAGGGTATAGTTCACCCTTGAAATTTGAGCCTTAATTCATCATTTGAGTTGTGTCTACCTTGTGAAATTCACATCTCAAAAGGTAGTGACTTTGGTGATATCAAAGTACCACTTATATTTCTTGTTAGTCTTCAATCCTTGAAACCTTAATATCTTGAGATTCTGCATGTACTTAAGTTTTAGAAGTACTATCAATGTTGACATCTTGCTGGACTTAGGATGATGTAAAATCTTCTCTTCCTAAATATTGTTATTAACTTTGCATATAAATGAATGGGAAAGGTTATTAATATGAAAAAACTGAGTAGTAAATACAAACTTAAGTGCAGAGGGCAACGTTGATTCTGTTAGATGAAGGCTTCCAGAAGAAGACAGGCAACTTACTGAGACTATAAGAGCCCTTTCTTGGAACATTACCAGATATGGACATGAATGAACCCTGGGAAATAAAGGGCTTAATAGCTAGGCATCTGGCAAGGCTATGGGTGGGCCAGATATTAAGTTACTGGGAGGAATATGATCAGAAGGAGAAAAGACTGCTCTGTATTTCTTATTTGTAAATTCACTACAGGCTACCTCTGACTTGCAGGAACACATCAAAGCAGAACATTGATGAAATGAGTGTTTTTGGCTATGTAGTAGTTCTAGAATTCTAACCTAAAGGACTTAAAAGCCCAGGTTGTAACTTTCATTATGCTACCTCCCTGATGGTGCCATCAAACATTATTATTTCATTAGTTTTGGCGGGGGAAAAGGTGGGGGAGCAAGGATTGTCAAGAGAGTGTGGATGTATGCCAGACCTAAATTAGTAGTGCAGTGGTGCCTATTCTCTTGAGCACTGCCCCGTATGGTGCATTATGAGTAATTGGGCTTGTTCTCTCCAGAGAAATTACCCACATTTTCTGTAAGTGATTACCGGATTAAGCATGCTCTCCACCTTTAACCCTATTTATGCATCATACTCAGTTAAGGAATTATTTTGCTTCTCAAGCTCTACTCATTAGAACACTTAGAAGATTTGTCAGCAACATTTACTCTGAGCCTCTGGAGCAACACTCAGTATAGACTAGTGCTGGATTCCAGTTTCATAACAGTAATTAGAGATGTGGACGGATTGAGGACTGAAGTTGGACAATGATTTTCACCTCTCCAACTCACCTCTGCATATTTTTGTTCTAAAATTCGAGTACAGAGTTGTTATGGTTATGAAAGTTATTGAGAGGCTTTTTTCCTCATTTGGTGATTGTACTTCTTTTTAGATCAGAAAAACTAGTTAAGGAAATAAGAGAGTTTCTTATTTTGAATCTCTATTCTGTCAGGGTCTCAAAAACAGTGTATCATACCATTGAGGATATGAAAACAAAGCTAAGAACAATTCTAGTTAAGGAAATAAGAGAGTTTCTTATTTTGAATCTCTATTCTGTCAGGGTCTCAAAAACAGTGTATCATACCATTGAGGATATGAAAACAAAGCTAAGAACAATTCTCCTAGGATATGTTCTTAAAGGCCAGTGCTGTCACTTCTTTATGTGCTTTCTGGATTTTACCACTGACTGTCGATTTTTCATCTTTCTGCAAATTTAATTCTCCTTAGTAATGTTAAGAAATTGACATGTAACGGGTATGTTCCAGTGCCCAGGCATTGTTTGATCTTCTCTTTCTATGATCTCAGGCCTTGAAGTCTTGGTTTATTCTCTATGCATTTGTGGTCCCAAACCCAACCTTGAGCATTCTATGCCTACTCTGGGACCCATCCCCCATGACATCTTTTGGAAAACACTCTCCTGTGGCAGCCCCAAATGTAGTGGGAGATAAACCTGTGCTCTTTGGAGAATCTGGTGAATAAGAGAAGAACAAGTCACTAAGATGAGTTCTTAATCATAGGGACCATCCAATAATGTCTAGTGTGACATTAAAACTAAACTCAGTTTTTTGACTGCAGTAATGAAGGAGATGTAATATAGCATTAAGCTGGCAAGGAAGGCCATGGGTTTTGGCTAATCATTTTTGGACTTGATGTTTAAAGAGAAAAGGAGGGATCCCTGGAGAGCTCAGCAGTTTAGCGCCTGCCTTTGGCCCAGGGCGTGATCTCCTGGAGTCCCGGGATCGAGTCCTGCATCGGGCTCCCTGTGTGGAGCCTGCTTCTCCCTCTGCCTGTATCTCTGCCCCCCTCCCCCTCTGTGTCTCTCATGAATAAATAAAATCTTTAAAAAAATGAATTAAATAAAGAGAAAAGGAAAATATGTAGAGCAGAAATTATGGAACTTATAATCACCCTCAGAGGAGATTGAGATTTCCTTGGATGTTAATAATTATGTAGTTAAACAAAAGATTTCTGTCATTCCATAGTTTAAATACTGTTCACTTATCTTTCTTGGTCAATGACTTAAGGCACTTGGTTGGGAAGGGGCAGAGTTCCTTGACTGGGAATAAATTGGGTCTGTCTAGTTCACTTTGCTTTCCCCGACATAGTAGATCCTTAATAAATACTTGTTGGATGGAGGTCCAATCTGACACTCAAATAAATTATATCTGAATATTACGGTGGTGCATACCATTCACAAATGGATGTCAACATTCATTTAATTAGTGTGTGTGGGAATACTAAGGTTTTAAAGACCTCCTGTCTAAGAGTTTTTAAAATTCAATAGTTTTAACCTGGGTAAAGGTGGTAGACTTCCTGGTAGACTCTTAGCTTTATAGATTACACCCAAACCTTCTCCCTGGTAGCAATTTCCAGCTGATCTTCATGCCCTTTTGCTCAACAATGGATCATACTCACCCCATATCCTTTGCAAATGAAGTGAGCTTACTTTGCCAAAAGGCTAATCTGTGGATGTAGGAACATGCAATTAAATGTGCTCATGAGCACATACACACAGCATCTTGCTAGGATGTGGTGATGCTTCACTGGGCATGATTTGGTGTACAACTCAAAGTTTAATGCAGGGAGAGGAAAAACTACCCTAATATTTGTTTGAAAAGTCTTTTGCCATCTAAATGGCAGTCTAAAGCTAGAAAATAAGTTGTAAATTTAGAATATACACTACATTCTGCTTTTTCTCATTCCCTAGTCTTTGTCCACATTTTTAGGCTTTTCATTAGAGCCTCTGAACATCTGATTCATATTTCAGAAAAAGTTAGCAAAGCAGATCTTTCTTATGTATGGATATATAAACAACTTAAGCAGTACTTAAGAGGAAAAAAACAACTTTGCCATCACCCTGCCTTCCCCCAAAAAACTCAACTGAAAAAGCAGTCTAGACCTCAGTCCACTGAATTTAAATTTGGACAACTGAGTCCAACTAACAATTTTTTTTGAGAGGGAGAGAAGGGGAGAAGGGGGGTGTCAGAGGGGCAAGAGAGGGAGAGAGAGAATCTTAAGCAAGTTCCACATCCAGCATGCCTAACTGACTGATCCATCCAGACACCCCCAACCAAGAATTTTTATCTCCAGGGCACAACACATAGTAAATGTTCAATTATGTCACATGATGAATAGATATATGTTTGATTCAGGCTAAAATTAGTAATAAATAGTGAATTGTAATGTTAAGATCAGAAAGTATCCTCAGAAAATAAAAATATATTGTAAAGTCATAGTAATTGATTTGACATTGATGCCCGAATAAACAAATAGATTGAAGGCACAAGGAATTCAAGAATAGATTGCATAGTAAAGTGACATTGAGACCAGTGGTGAACAGCTGGACTCTTAAGTATATGTATGATTTGGGACTACTTGGCTAATCATTTGTGAAAAGTGTTATCAGCTTCTACTTCTCACAAATCGAAAGCGTAAATTCCAGATGGATTAAGACCAAATTGAAAAACAAAGCCCGAACTAAATATGAGCATGAGAACAAGTATAAAAGAATATGTTTATAATCTTAGGTTCAGGAAAGGCCTGAAAGGACATATACTTTTAAACAAAGTTTTTTTTTAATCTTTTGTTTGTTTGTTTTTAATCTGATAACTCTATTCATTTAGAACTTCAGGACGATAAGAAAATATATTATTCTTTTTTCTCAGGGTGAGGTCATAGGAAAACTTTTTTTTCCATTTTTCATTCAGTCCCTAGAATTAAGGTGCATGTGAGTCATTCCTCTGTTTCTCAGTACTAGTTTCTGAGATAGGTTAACAATGGGAAATTTGGATAATGTAAAGTGGAGCTTTCAATTGACCATAACAACTCATTCATTCATTCATCCATTCAATATTTAGTATTCTAAGCAGGATCAGTAAACCAAATAATCCCTTGCAGAATTTGTAGCCTAGCAAAGGGAGACAAGAAACTAAACAACAAAGATAATAAATACATTACATATTATATTAGAAGTGATAAGTACTGTGGGAAAAAATTATAGTAGGATAAGGAGGATCAGGGGTGCATGGGGACAGGGGTAACAGGTTACAATAACTAAAAAGGGTGGACAGAGTCACTCTCATGGAGCCATGAAATTTGAAAAGGTAATAGAGTTAGCTAAGAAGATTATTAGGAGGCAGAGGAACTAGCCAGAGCAAAACTCCCAAAGAAATTCATTGTAAGAACTTTAGCTTTGATCTGGGTAAAAAAGGGAGTTGTGTAAGGTTTTGGATGATAACTATTTGACTCATATTTTTTAAAGATTTATTTTATTCATTTGAGAGATTAGAACATATGTATGGGGGAGGGACAGAGGGGAAGGGAGATGCAGAGGGAGACAATCTCAAGCAGACTCACTGCCAAGCATGGAGCCCAACATGAGGCTCAATCTGAAGACCCTGAGATCATGACCTGAGCCAAAATCAAGAGTCAGACACCCAACCAAGTGAGACACTCAGGGGCCCTCATTTCACACACATTTTTAAAGGATCCCTTTGGACATGGCAAGAGGAATAGATTGTAGGAGGCCAAGAGTAAAA